GCACATGACCACAATGTAAACATCGGGCCACGTGCTTTGACAAAAGACGCAAGACACGAGCACACGGTAGATGAACACCTTACCGTGCGCTCACACATAAGCAACGCGTATGCTTCATCTCAGCGCCAACCAAAACTGAAACCAACTAGACGGAGGCGCCGAGAATAAAGCAGCGCGCTGCTGACAGAACAAACACAAACACTAGTACAAGAGCGCGCGCGTCTGACGGACGCAGTGCGTGCACGGCCACATCAAGCGGCAGCGCGCACACTCTGCGTACACCCTTGACGGCGCGCGCGCACACAGAGACAGAAACAGGACCAGACATGGGTAGTGTCAGAGCTCTGCTACCAAAACAAGAATTTACAAAGACCAGAGTGGCAGAACCCTGACACTGCCGGATCATGGCTCTAAAGACAAAAGTAATAATTTGGTATTATCAGGATTCCCGTGTTTCTTTAAAGTTCTTGAAAATACTTGAATTTAAGACATGATTTCTAGGCCTGGAAAATACTAAAAAATAAACAAACACTCACTGGCCGCTTTATTAGGTACACCTATCCAATTGTTCGCAAATTTTCAATCAGCCAATCACATGGCTGCAACTCAATGCATTTAGACTTGTAGGCATGGTCAAGACGATCTGCTGCAGTTCCAAACGAGCATTAGAATGGGGAAGAAAGGTTATGTAAGTGAATTTGAACGTGGCATGATTTATGGTGCCAAACAGGCTGGTCTGACTATTTCAGAAACTGCTGATCTACTGGAATTTTGATGCACAACCATCTCTAGGGTTCACAGAAATTGGTCCGAAAAAGAGAAAATATCCAGTGAGTGGCAGTTCTGTGGGCGCACTTGTTGCTGTCAGAGGAGAATGGCCAGACTGGTTTGAGCTGATAGACAAGCGACAATAACTCAAACATTACTACATACTAAGGTATGCAGAAAAGCCTCTCTGAACACACAACATGTCGAACCTTGAAGCAGATGGGCTACAGCAGCAGAAGACCACACCGGGTTCCCCAGTCACCAAATCTCAATCCAATAGAGCACCTTTGACAAGTGATGGAATGGGAGATTCACATCATGGATGTGCAGCAGAAAAGTGTGCAGTAACTGTATAATACAATCATGTCAATATGGACCAAAATCTCTGAGGAATATTTCCAGTACCTTGTTGAATCTATGTCAATCTATGATTTTGCGTTTATACAACAGTTTGACAGCATAATTGTGTATATAAAAACAAAATCAAACATGGAGAGTCTCAAAAACCCTTTTGTATGAGGAACTACTTTCTTCCGCGTTGGATTCAAATCATAAGCTAACAGTTAAACAGCTGAGCAAGCATCCTTTAAACTTTAGATTTGTAGTGTCTGCTTTTGCTGGCTGTGTGTGGGCGGAGTAGTACACAAAAGGTAAAGAGGCTGTATGGGTGCTGATATTACTTAAATATATCACGGCTATCAGCCAATCAGATTCGAGAACCAGACAAAACTGTTGTATAAATATATATATGTACATCACACACACACACACACACACACACACAGATGTGTACAGTATACTGTTGGGGATGTGAATCACAAAAAGTCCTTGAATTTGGTGTCCATGAGAAAATTGGAGCCCTGTATTGTTTTAGATATTAATTCTTAAAATATTAAAATGTTTGATTAAATATAGGCACACTTGGTAAGCATAAGAGACTTCTTTCAAAAAAACTGTTGAAAATGTACCATTTATCAACCCCATATTTTAATGAGAACATTTGGACAACTCTTGATGCTTGCATCATGATAATATTTATTTTATTTTATTTTTGTCTTTTTTAAAAGCTCAAAAGTCTGCATTTATTATAAGTTCATTAGAAATCAATAAAATTTGTGAATTTTTGTGTGATCAACATAAGAAAGAAAGTCATACAGGTTTGGAACAACATTAAACATTTTTAGTAAACTGTCCCTTTAACAAGAACACATTTGTTTTTTTCTCCTACATTTGTTTATGCTTCTGAATTGCATTATGTGACCTTGATCTTTCTTCCAACAACTTTTTAACCTTGAAAAGTTTGAAAAAGCTACTTTTATTAACATTTTAAGAGTGTAAAGTGAAATATCGTCTGGATTGGTGTTGAATATATTAAGGTACTAAAACCTTGCAATAAACTGCCAGAACATTTTCTGGTATTTTAGACTCTTTTCCTATACATTCACTTTATTAGGTACACCTTACTAGTACTGGATTGGACCCCTTTTTCCTTCAGAACTGCCTCAATCCTTCATGGTATAGATTCAACAAGGTACTGGAAATATTCCTTTAAAGATTTTGGTCCATATTGACATGATAGCATCACGCAGTTGCTGCAGATTTGTCGGCTGCACATTCATGATGCGAATCTTTATGCTCTATTGGTTTGAGTTCTGGTGACTGTAGAGGGCGTTTGAGTAATGTGTTTAACTATTGAGTTACATATTCAACATCAAAAAGATTCGACACAGCAGAAATCAACAACCCATAATGCAATTCCTAACCGGAAATAAGCAGAAAACACATGGAAACTGTTAATGAACAGATATTCATTCATTTTCTTTTCGGCTTAGTCTCTTTATTAGTCTGGGGTCACCACAGCAGAATGAACAGATGCCCTTCCAGCTGCAACCCATCACTGGGAAAGATCTATACACACTCATTCACACACATACACTACAGACAATTTAGCTTATCCGATTCACCTGTACCGCATGTCTTTGTATTGTGGTGGAAACTGGAGAACCCGGAGGAAACCCACGCCAACACGAGGAGAACATGCAAACTCCAAACAGAAATGCCTGCTGACCCAGCTGAGGTTCGAATCAGTGACCTTATTGCTGTGAGGCAGTCGTGGTACCCACTGCGCTACCGTGATGCCCAATAACAGATGTTTTGTATTGTTTTTTTATCTTTCCCCTTTTTCCCCTTTCTATTTAAAATGTTTTGTTCATTCCCAAGCATTTGGATTTAATTTGTTCCCCATAAAACAACTAGTCACCCAATTAAACAACCAAGGCTAATCCCAACCAACAAGAACCCAAAAAACCACATGCTCACGGAGCAGATTAACTGAAGAATAAATCCAAACTTTAGGCTTTGAATCATTTTTAGGGATTAACGAAGCACCACTGGTGTTTATTTGCATCTGAGGGAAACGGCTCACAAATAAGCAGTTTTATTTTGCTACACTTCAGATCTGGACTGCCATATTTTATTTTTTTTGCCACTCAAATAACTCAATAAACGCTCAGCAAAACTAGGTCAGAGATATGCAACAGCTCTCGCCTGCGGACACAAACTCTCGAACCGTTTCTGCAGTACATTGCGAGGGAGTCTGAGCTGCATTGGAAGTAGATACTGTGAAGAACAGGAAGTTCTGTGAGTTCAGTCTAATAAGACATTGTGCAGTTGCATTGGGGTGTGTGTGTGTGTAAAGCCAGCTTAGTGTATCTCTGTGTATGTGTGTGTGTTTGAAGAAAAGAGATGTCATTTCACACTCAGCTGACTTGGAGGCGTCCCGCAGAGCTGGTTGGTCTACACTTGATCTGTGGAGTGATAGTCAACATTGCAGACCATCAGAGGCCAATGAGGCAAACACCACTGGGACTTTTATCTCATCAACATGTTCTGCTGTATTGTGTGTTTCTGAGCAGGGATCTGACCATGTGGTTTAGACTAACCTAATCGAAGAAGCATTCATTCATTCATTCATTCATTCATTCATTCATTCATTCATTCATTCATTCATTCATTCATTCATTCATTCATTCATTCGTTTGTTTGTTCATTCATTCATTTTTTCATTCATTTGTTTATTTCATTTATTTGTTTGTGTTTGCATATCTGTTATTGTATTTATTTAATTATTATCCACTGTATCAATTTGTCTTTCTTACTAATTTATAACGTAATCCATTACTTTTTTTTCACATGTTAATATTTTTCCATTTACCCCTTTTATTGAATTACTTATTAATTGATTTGCACAATTATGTATTTACCCATTTTCTGTTCATTTGCATTTAACCATTCATCTTTCAATTATTCGTTTGTTTGTTTGTTTGTTTGTTTGTTTGTATTTATTTATTTATTTTACAGTTTTTGACTATTTATTTGCACATTTATGTTTATTTACACATTTATTTATTTACCTGTTTATTTCTTCATTTACAATTTTTTATTATAATTTATTTAATTATTTATATGTTTATAATTTAATTTATATATTTATAATTTATATATATATTTTCATCATTTTAAATATTTATTTATATTTAAATAATTATATTTAATAATAAAAAATACAAATATTAATTAATATCATAATAATTGTAACAATTGTAGCATTTTATATATTATTGTATTGTTCATAATTTATTTAATGATTTATATATTTAAAATGTATTTAATTACTTATATATTTATTTATTAATTTACCTATTTATAATTTATTTATATTTTTATAATTTATTTACTTATGTATTAATTATTTACGCCATATTTATTTATTTATTTATACATATATTATTAGTTTTAAAAAAAAAATTATAGTTAAATAATAATATTTTCTAATAAAATTATATGTTATAATTGTATCATTATATTTATTATTGTAACAATATAAATATAAATTATATAAAATTTATATATATATATATATATATATATATATATATATATATATATATATATATATATATATATATATATATATATATATATATATCCTCAGTGTATTAATCTTTTTATTGCTTTAATCTAAATAAGCTTCAGCTTCTAGGGATTTTTATTTTATGTAGACACCATGTGTGTTTGTGTGCAGCCATGAATGTTGACAGAGCTCTTTATCATATGGAGTGGAAATGTTAGCTTTTTCGCATGAATATATTGACATTCACATAACCGGCGCAGCCTTTTATCGCTTAGCGGACACGCTGGACTGATTGCAGCTCTTTCTCTTTCTGCCACAGGTGCTGAAAGGCAGCAAAAAGCTCTGCATGTCGGTGCGTTCTGTGGGCAGGATACCAGGCGGTTATATCACCAATCACGTCTACACCTGGGTGGATCCTCAGGGGCGCAGTGTGTCTCCTCCACCCGACCTGCTGGCGGAGCATCGCAGTGCCACCCTGCGCAGGTCCAACAGTCAGGGCCGCAGTCACATGCAGCTACTGCAGGATGGAGATGAGAAGAAGGTAACATACACATACAAACGCACACTTCTATAGTGCCTCCAGAGGTTGTTGAACTGTATAGATAAAATAATCAGTGGGTAAAATTTACACATTGTGACTACTGTTTGATATGGCTAAAAAGTCAATGATGTCATATTTATTACACTACTGTCCTCACACTGTAATGTTTAGAGTCATAGTGTAACCCCGCTGGTCTTACACCACCCAACCTGCTCCGAGCTGGTATCAAACCGACGACCTTCTGCATCCTCTAACAAGGTGGCACAGCACTTCACTAACTGGCCTCTGCTACACTCACCCCCCTAAACCTCACTCCCGGAGGTCAAAGGAGTGAGGTTTACATGCACAGCACTTCACTAACTGGCCTCTGCTACAATAACATCATTATTGTTCAGCTATGAAGTTGAGCAAACATGTTTACATAAACTCACTCGTGATGTGTGTGTGCACATCATGCAGTGTTCTAAGCTTCAGAATTTGCACTGTGGACTCCACCTTTTATGTCTGAATATTTGGGTATTCTTTAAAAAGATTGATTTCTGTTGAAATGATTCATTTCTTTTAAAATAAATTAACAAAATTTGTTGAATATATACTTGTTAGGCAGTGGCGCAGTAGGTAGTGCTGTCGCCTTACAGCAAGAAGGTTGCTTGGTTGCAGGTTCGAACCTCGCTCAGTTGGCGTTTCTGTGTGAAGTTTGCATGTTCTCCCTGCCTTCGCGTGGGTTTCCTCCGGGTGCTCCGGTTTCCCCCACAGTCCAAAGAATTGGTGAATTGGGTAAGCTAAATTGTCCGTAGTGTATGAGTGTGTGTTTGAATGTGGATGTTTCCCAGAGATGGTTTGCGGCTGGAAGGGCATCCGCTGCGTAAAAACTTGCTGGATAAGTTGGCGGTTCATTCTGCTGTGGCGACCCCGGATTAATAAAGGGACTAAGCTGACAAGAAAATGAATGAAATGAATGAATGTTGTTGGAGTAGTTTCCGGTTTCCAAAGTGGCTTTGTTTCTGTCCTTTAAGGTGTTGTGTGTAAGTTTTTGACTTTTCTAAAGCATGAAAAATACCTTAAAATTAAAGAAACATGCTCAATAAACATAGCTGTTTATCTGAAAAACAATGCTAAACTTTTAGCAATTAGTATACAATACTATTCTCTTCTAAAAATCTGGCTGCGTCCGAATTCTCTTACTAAAGTATGTATTACATTTGAATTAACTACTGAAAAGTACAAAAAGTACATGCTTGAGTATGAATGCAAGTAGTAAAGTGTTTCCTCAAGGATTTTTTCCAGCTGTGGTGGCAGGCCTTTTACACAGATCTTCCAACTACCTGTGGCATTATTTCAATGACAAATGTTGTGAGCGCAGAATTTCATGTTGAAATCGCATTCATGTAATTCACCTTATTCTTCACATACAAGCGGGCGCAGCCATTTGAATCTTTTTCAGCTTGAGACTCCTGGTCTTACTTACATTTTTAGAGGTTAAAAACGGCTTGTTCTGCTGCTTGATGTTGCAAACTGATATATTCTAGATATATGATTCTGCTTTGCATAGTCATGAACACACTTGTTTGTAGAGCAAGTAGTTTGACTGTTTCTGCTGTTTATAATTTCTAGTTTATTTCTCCCATAGACAACTGAATCTGAAGTTCTAAAACAATCGCAAAAACGAGTGCACTTCTGCATTAATGAATGAGGTCAATACAAGCATGCGAATCTCCGATTTCCTTTGTTTGTGCACAAAACTTCTTGCATGCCTTCAAATAAATGCTGCTGAAGTGCAATTTAGTGCGTTTATGTAACAAGTATGTCTTAAACATTTATTATATTTGCTACAAATATTTCTGAGTGTATTCAATAGACCTACAGAATGGCATTAATGCGTCCTGAAATAAAGTGAAGTGACCATAAATAATTATGGAAACTGTGTTCATCATAACTGAAAGCTACATCGTGTTTGCTGGCCTCATGCATCGCCCAGCCCTGTACATGTAGGTCAGTCAGCATGTCACCTTAAAGGGTTAAACAAATAATGCACAGCACTACTATGATTACCGAAAAGTTTGCTCTAGTGTAATTTACTTCAATTTTTATACTTTTTAGAGCGATTAAAAGGTGTTGATCGAGACAATATGATGTAGAAGTGGTGGGAATAAATTTTGGTCTTGCTGAATCCATGCAGTATGAATGGAATTCTGATATACTACATCCACCATTTGTCATTATCACTTGACCTACCAGCAACAGTTGTCGTTTCATTCCCATTCATGAATTCTCTCACGTGGCATAATGGGATAGTGTTCATTGGATATGCACTTCAGAATCTCACCTTCTCGGATACTGTTTTCGTATTCTATGAATTCAGACATACTACTTGGCTTGTATATTGTTTTTAGCATACTATGTAGTATGGAAGTAAGCGATTTTGGACGCAGCCTGTGTGATTCGTGTTGGAATGTCTGTCTTTGTTTTGGTCTGAGTAACTCTGCCAGTTTACCCAATTATATATCAGCACCCTAGGTTGGCTTGGTAGAAAACACTGGGTATTTCTTTTCAGTCATGAAGGCTTCCTTAACATACGTGGGCGCAGACAAAAAGTAGCAGTCTCTGAAACGAAACGCAGATACAGAGTTACAACAATCCACATCTGGTGGTTTATAATCAGCAAATATTCCAAACACAAACATTGGCTCATCAGGCACACTCGCTGCTGTTTGTGTCATCAATCTGGCAACCCAAGACTGCATCCAGTCATAGCAGGTAAAAAAAAGCACCTCTTGAAAATGTTTAACTTGGACTGCAATACCAAGTTCAAGCACTTGTGTCAATCCTACACTCTTCACCTTTAAGAATACAAACAAACTAATCAAATAAACCTTCATTCCAACTCCAAAGCAGAATGTACTGTAAAGAGAAGTTTGCTCGAATGTTGCATGTATTTACAGCTTGGTGGCTTCAATAAATGCTTGTCATTTTAAGTGCTCCACTGCTGTAAGATTGAGCATGGAAATGATTTTTCACTCGTGCGTAAGGGAGGTGCACATGAAGAATGAAATTATGTTTATGCTATAATTTTCGTAAACCAAAGCTCTTTTTCATGTTTGTGGCATCCGATGACAACCTCAATGACACTGAAGTGCAGTTGGACTGCTGCCCTTTTATCTATGAGTCATCATTTATCTGCTGTCACACACTCTGGGCTAACTATCTGCGATCTGCTACGCTAGCTAATGGACAGTAGCGCTTTAAGACCGGGTTTCATAAATGGTTCACCTGGGATGTTTTTATTCACTTCTGATAAGCGCTTTGTGCTGACCTGATTTGATTAGAACTGCATCAAGATGTGTGTGTGCGTTTGCGAAATAGTCCATTTGCATTTTACAGAAGTCTTTCTGGTGAGCTTACGCAATGTGCATTCGGCTGATAAACTCTCGATGCCGATGCATTTCCATTTAGAACAATACTGTCTATTAGAAGCCAAATCCAAAACCGACGGATTAGTGTTTTGGGGTTTAGGTGTCTTTTTTTATCAGGCTGTTATTGAATATGTATTAAGAGGGAGCAAATACGAGAGTCTCTTCCACAGTTACTCAGTCTCCGTCAGACCTGAACCAAACTAAGATGTCTGCAGTTGTACACAGGTGCTTAGTTTTGAATTTTAAACAATGTGAATTAAATATATAAATCAGTGAAGGGTGAGGGGGAAAAATGTTTTGTTTGCACGTTGTTATTCGCTTAAGGAGCTGTGAACACACAGCATTCGTCCAACAAATGAAACAATCCATCATTGTACATTGTCCGTTTTGGCTCGTTTTAAAAATTAAGAGGCTTTCCCAAATTAGTTTTACTGCTATTTCTGACCTCTATCATTTGTTGTATTCTCATGTGTGCTATAATTACTGTAGTTAAACTCACAGGGATTTGTGTGTGTCTGTACATGTATAAATGTCTGCCACATATGGCATTAAAATACCACACAAAATTGGAAGTATTTCAACCATTGTTAAATTCTAGAAGATTTCCAGGGGACGTGTGTGGTAAAAACTTTAACATTATGCATAGAATGTCATTGTGAAGAGACAGCCATTGTGTTTACAGCTGTGACAAGTGTCCCTTATCATTTTACGGTATACAGCAGTGGTCCCCAACCTTTTTACCACAGTGGACCGGTCGTAGCTTGACAGTTTTACTGCAGCCTGGGTGGGAATGAGGGAGTGCTAGTGCTAGGGGACCATCAAATGTTTTCTCAGTGGATGACAAGCGGACAAAACATTGCTGCAACTCTAAAACAAGTTTTATTTATTGAGAAAATTAAAAAGCACTGCAGTGTTTGTCTTAAATAGTTAGTCTACCGAAATGTGTAAATTCCATATAAAATATAAAGCTGATCGGTCATTTCACAGCATTCTGAAGATGTATTCAACTGGGTGTGCCTGGAAAGCATTGCTCCCACACATCACTCTTTTATTAGAAATAACAAGCTTGCACACGAAAAAGATGCAATATGTGAACGGCCGCTGTCATTCGCGATCTCTAGCACTTGATCTTCTTGCACAGATACGCTAGATTTACCTGATTTGTTGATAAATGGGTTGTGGATCCATTCCTTTTCAGTTTGTGGGTCTTTTACTGGGTCTCTTCCTCTTCGCAAGGAAACATTTCAGAGATGTCTGTTTCTTACTCATTTTGCTGCTTGTGGGCTAAGTCTTGGTGATCAGGCAACCAAAATGTAACTGAGAGAATATGTTCATTTCTAAAAATAAAAGATTGTTTAGACTCAAATAGTAACTAAAACAGAAATAACTAATGATTTCTTGTGGGGCCAGGTACCAATTGATCCACAGACTGGTACCCGGGGTTGAGGACCACTGGTATACAGTACAGGTTAACAGTGTAGAATTTTAAATTAAGTTTTACCTGCCAGTGTAGTTTAGAGTCCCAGCAGAGACACACATCATATTACATTTATATTAGGTTAGATTTAGGTCACCGGTATTTTAGGA